TGATAAGGGTTATTAAATATTAGATAATAATTGTGTATCTATATGTGGTGATGGACTTAAAGTAGATAAAGAAGGATGTGATGATGGTAATGATAAAAGTGGTGATGGATGTACATAATGTAAAGTTGAAGATGGATGGATATGTGAAAATACTTGTGAAAGAATAATCTATCCTATTATTCTTATGACAGAATCTAAATTTGATAATTAACATGATGGAATTAGAAATTTAGAATTAATTACTAATATTAAACTTAAAACTACTGGTAAAATTGATAATCTATGTTAATATTCTTTTAAAGAATCTATCTCTTTTGATATTTTAATCACTGATAATTAAACAGAAACTAAAGACGATTATAATATTATCAAAACTATTTTGAAACTTTAAATTAATGATAGAAGTGAAAATCCTATTTTAATATGTAAAATACTTAATTCTGATAAGTATATTAGTGAACAAGGTTTTACTTTTGAATAAATGTCATTTGAATTCCCATTAATACCATTTTATAAATAATCTTAATCTGTTATTTCAGCAACAACAAGTTTATTAAATTTTAGTAAATATGTTTTATATATACTATTTGGATTAGCTATATTTGCATTTCTAGTTGGAGGATTACAAATATTTTGGAATTTGTTAGATGTCTTATAATTAATTTCATATTTGTAATTTTTCAATATTTGGTATCCATATAATGTTGATACATATTTCTAACTTTTTGATTTTGCTCAATTTGATTTCATTAAAAAAGTAGTTAATATTGAAGATATTATAAATCATCATGTTAATTCTCCTGAACCAGATTATAAATTTGCATAATAAGGATATTCTTCTACATTTTATATTAATTCTATTGCTGTTTTTACTGTCTTTATGACAACTTTAGCAATCTTTATTGGTTGTAGATTAGGATTTGTATTTTTGGCTAAACTTTTATAATATTACTCTGATGAAAATGACACATCTTTAGAAGAAGAACCTAATGTTATCAAATTTATTTTGTTTAGAATTAGTAGAAATATTTCTAAAATGTTCCTTAATATTATTGGAGAATTCACTTCAGGATTAATTAGAACTTTTATGGCTGTTACCTATGATTACAATCTCTCTATTTTTTTATAAATTAGATCATCAAATTTAGATAATGCATTATTGTAATCCAGTTTTGCTTTAAGTATAATATTTTTATTACTCTAATTATTCTTTTTATTTAAAGGTTTTACTTTTATGAGCAATTAACCATTTTTCTATTAATAATTCTTTATTAAATAGAAATATGGATCCTTATATGAAGGAATAGATATTCAACCAACTAAGCCTTATTCTAATTATTATAATCTTGTTCTCCTTTGTAAGAAGATACTTTTCATATTATTTTTGGTTAATCTATATTATGATACAAGCTTATAAATTATAACATGTTCTATGCTTAATGTACTCTTTGCAGTTTATATCATATATAATACTCCATTACAAGATAAATTTGAATACTTTAAAACTGTGGGATCAGAATTTTTTATTTGGTTAGCAGAAATCTTCATTTTAGGATTATACTACTCCTAATAATAAGGTCCAGATGAAAATAAGGAATTATTAATAGGATGGTTTATCATTGGTGCTTGTACAATGTTGATCATATATCAATTCATTCTTGATATTAAGTAGCATTATGAATTCTTGATTAAAGAGTATAAGATTATTTCTAAATTGCTTTCAAGAATTAGAAGTTTGTTTCGAAAAGAAGAATATAGAGAAGAAACTTAAGACAATTTAGTTGATGTTAAATATAGTAAATAAACTTTAAGAGGAAAGATGTCAACTTAAGCTACTTTAGGAATTAAACAAAGAAAATTAGTCACCTTTAAATTTGAAAAATGAATAAATAATTATGTTTTTTTTTGTTAATATTTAATTCATATTTGATTTTTTTTTAAATTGATAGTTATAAATTTGAATATGATATTAATGGATATTTAATCTTATTGTTATTTAAATAATTTATGAAATATTATACTATATTTATTATTTTATCATAAAATTGAAGTAATCAATTTAAAAATTAATATTTAAAAATTAAATAATTCATTATCCTTTAGTATAAGTAATACTTGAAGATTGAAATTAGTGTTTTATCAATAAATAAACCTGTAATTTTATTAAAAATTGTATTATTTAAAAAAAAAAGAAGAGATTATCAAATATTAATAAAATAATTATATGTAAGAAAATGAGTTTGCAATTTCAATTTGCGTTCCTTCCTTCAAAAAAAATGATGATGTTGTATACTACTAGTTAGTGTAAGATATTTATATTAAATTATATATAGATTTACTCAAAATAACTAAAGGCGTTCCTTTTCAGTCGATTATCGCTATTCACATCTAAAGAAATTATATGAATCATTATAAACTCTTAAAGGAAGTTTGCCGAAGTTTCCTCCGACTAATTGGTGGAGATCCACCAATCAGAATGATGAATTAATAGAGGAGAGAAGAATATAATTAGATTATTTCTTTAAAACTCTCCTCTTATGCAAAGATGTTAGTCAAAGTTTGATTATGAAAAACTTCATTCTCAAATCACAATGTTTGCATTTGAAAAAGATCGAGAAAGTATCTAGAATGTAATTTATATTAGGAATAACTAATTCTGACGAAAAAAGAAAGAGAAGCTGGAGCTACTCCTAATATGAGTTAGAAAAAAGCTAAATCTCAAGTAATTAGTTTTATTATAAAACTATAGTTAACTACTCCTGTTTGCGGTCCTGCTGAAGATCCAATTGAAGATCCCAGAGAGAGAGCACGCTCTTGGGAATTCAAATTCACTAAGAAGAAATCTGAATCCATGTGTATTAAAGATAATAATTAATTAAATAATGTATAATATATATATTTAAAAATATAGTTGACCTTCGGAGGAGTACCAATATTCAAAGGCATTATCCTTAGATTAAAATGATAAAAATAGAATTTCATAAATTATCATTTAAAATTCTTTAATATTTTTCATTAATCCACATTATTTGATGAATTGTAATGCTATTATTTTTGATTTTTATTTTTTTTAATTAACTTTCACTTCCAGATGATCTTTCTTATACATAGACATAATCAATTAAATTTAGGTATTTATTTTTAACAATCTCCTTTTAAATTGATAAAAGATTAATCTTTAATTTATTCATTGAAATAGGAAAGAGAGTTTGAATAAATTATCTTAATATATTCAATATAAAGTCTATTTTGTTATTTAATATCTTGATTATTGATTTATAATTGTTATTCTCATAATTTGAATTATAGGAATGTTATTCTATGTATATTATATTACTAGATTTCCTTTTTGTTATTGTAGATTCAATTAATCTTGATTAGATTTAAATATTAATGAATCAAATAATATGAAATTCTAGAGTTTTATTTATTTTGCTTGATTATATTTAAATTTAGTTGTTATATGTGTTTTCATGTAGAAATAATATCATTTATCTTAAGAAATATCATTCTATATTTTAATGAGTGAGTGGTATTATATATTATTAAAGCTTCAAATAATATTATTTTATTGATATATAAATTTCGATTGCGTAATGTGGGTATTCAAAGCATAAATTATTGATCACAATATTATTAATAATATTATAAAATATGAAATACCTAATTGCCTTACTGTTAGTATCATCCATTTTAGCAGCTATTCCAACCAAAGTTACCAATTGTATGGCCAACCCAAAGATTGTTTTTACTGAGGCAACATTCAGTGTTACTCCAGCTAAAGGAGTAGATGAAACAATCACACTTTATGGATCTGCAAATGATCATGTTGAATTAGCTAATGTTTAACTCAAAGCTAAATGGAATGGAATAGATGCTTTTGAAGACAATTATCCAGAAGATGAAGTCTATGAGAAAGGAGATCTTGTCAACTATGAAATGACTTAAAATTTCCCAACCTATACTCCATCTGTAATTTATTAAACATATTTTAATAGGGTAAAATTGTTGTCTAAATGTGGTTCTAAAATGCTAAGGGTACTAACTTTGCATGTGCAGAAGTAGGATTTGTTATTTGATTCCTATATATATAGATGTTCATTAAATAAGATATAAAACTTCATATTAAAATCACATATTAAAATAAGTAGATATGTAATAAAATGATTATGCTTAATCTTTTTCTTGAATTCTATATGATTAGTATACATCTTCACCTAAAAATACTTCATTTATTATATGAATTCAATAATAGATTGTTTATAATTGTATATTTAAAGAAGGTGAATAAATATAGAAATTTAAATAAAATTCTTATCAATAAAATATTAATTTCTATAATAGTTCATTTAAAATAACTCAGCCAAACTTATATATCATGAATCCCAATTGATTTATGTAAAAATGTATCATACATTAACTTTCATAAGAAACAAATGCACCAAAATGTAATCCTACAATTACATGCCATGTCCCTTAAAATTTATTATCAAATTCATTTTTAATGTACTCTGCTATGTCTTTAAAATATCTCTTTTCTCTTTTAGCTGACAATTCTTAAAGTTTATAAAATGTAATTACTAAAAGCATGTTCAGCAGTTTCAAATGCAAATTCTTTTTATGCTTAACTCATATCACAAAAGGTCACAACAGGTTTATGAATTTCTAAGTTTGAAACTATTACTACTGCATCCTTTCCCTACCCTCCTCTACCAAAGGACTTATCAATAGCCGAGCTTCCAATCTTTGATATGTCCATTATTAATTATATATTAATTAATATATAATGAGTAAAAGTATTTACAATTAATTGAATCTTTAATAACAAACAGGAGAGTCTTATATTTATTTGTATTTTACATTAATAATTGCTGAATATTTAATATTTATTCCAATGAGATTTGTTTGCAAGTATGTAATAAGTTTTGATTGAGGCATTTTTTAATTAAATTTATGCTTATCTTATGACTATATTATAATAAAGATAAACATAATTTATAATGAATGATACTAACGATGTTTAGATATTAACTGATTAAATAAATGATAGAGAGAAACTCATTATACATTATTTGAATGAAGATTTAAAGCTTGAATAATTAACAGATCCACAAAAAAAATAGATAAATTTTGAAGTCTCAAAAAAAAAAACAATTTTCTCTCAAAAAACTTTAGATTCTGATAGTGAAATCTCTGAATTTAATTCCAGTAGTACAATAAAGAGTACTTAATTGAAAATGAATAAGTCACCATTATTAATAAGAAGACTCAGTACAATTATGTTGGAATAGATTTTTTGATTTTGTTATATTAAACTAAATTGTTAATCTTTCATATTTTTCAGTAGGATTAGAATGTTTGATCATATAAATGAAGATGGATATTTGTTAAAATGTATTTGGTTGATTAAACTAATCGAATTGAAAAATAAATATATTTGTAAATGTAACCAATACGAACGAACTCTGCTTATTTTCCAGCTTAAAGAAAGGAATCATCACCAATTTCAAGGAAAATATCATTTCAACAAAATACCAATAAGAATTCCTTTAAATCTTCTTATCTTGAAACTTCAGAATCGCCTTTGAAAAAAAATAATATTATAGAGTTACTTGGATTGTAGGAGAAATGTATTTTTATTGATATTCTATTTTAGAATTGATTGCATTAAAAGGCACATAGTTTTAATAAAAAGAAGTAGAAAATATGTTTAAATCTCTAAATAAATAAGCTATGAAGATTTTAGACTAAAATGGATTCAATGATATATGTATTCTTATTCTATAATGGATAATATAACATCGTGAATATTAAGATATACCTACTTAAATGTAAAAATAATAACTAATTTTGAATTTTAGATGTTTGGCTTATAATAATTTAGGTTGTGTTTATAGAAGAATGAATCAAACACAATTAGCAATTAATGCTTTTGAAAATGCACTTTAATTAGTCTAATAATATGATCAATTAAAAATGAAAACAATTACTCATTTGAATATAACAGCAGTATTGAGTCAAATGAATCTGTATAATTTTGAAATTTAATATTCCTAAGGCATGAAAAAGCTTTAAAGGAAGCTAAGAGAGCTATCTAATCAGGTTAATAAGAATTTGATTCAAATTCTAAAGAAACAATAAGATATTTAGCAATGGCTCATTATAATTATGCATATGAATTAGAATCCTTGGATCGTATCAATGAAGCAGTCAAATAATATAAGAGATCTTTGTAATTTGTTGCAGAACATCTAGGTAATTAGGATCCATTATATAAAAAATTATATAATGGACATTAGTAAGCTAAATAAAAATTAATTGTTCAAATGAATGAATAATCTCCTATTCTATTTAAAAAGATATTATCATTAAAAAAATAATTTGATGTTCCTACAGATGAAAGTTTCTAATATACAACACCTTAATAAAGTCCACTTAGTCAAACAAGAAAATTGATATAGAGAAAGAAAATAAATGTTATTGAAAATGAAACAATAAAAAAAGAATACAGTGCTTCAATATTAAGAAGAAAGACAGATAATGAAAGAATGGATACTAATAGAGATAAAGTACAAGATATTAAGGCTAAATTATTATAATTAAATGTAATAAGTGGAGTGAAAACAAAATTGAAAACATAGATAGAATAAATTGAAATAGAATAATGGTCAAATTCAGAACATTCAGATGAGGATATTAAATAATAAAGATAAACTGAAAGATCTCCTTATAATAGAGGATCAATTTTAATGAAAAATAGTGGTAAGGATCTTAGATTAAGTTTTTTAAATAAATAGAATTCTTAAAGAATTTATTTTGATAATTCTTTAATAGAGAAAGAAAAATAAATTATAAGAGAAGTAGAAGAATAAATTTATAATACAAATTAAATTACTAAAATATAAGCATAAATTAGAATGAAAAAAGAAAGAAAGAAATTTTATAATCTTAAAAAAGCTTTTAAAGATAAGGGAAATTTATTATAAACAGATGAATTAAAATTAAAAAAATTATAAAGATTTTTAAGAAAAAAATTTGTAGAGATTAAATTTTAAGAAATTAAAAACAAATTAATTTAAATGAATAAATTATAAAAAAATTATTAGAAGGAATAAAAAGCTATGCAGAAAATTATAACTTATTTTTTAAGATATAAATCAAAATAATAAATAAAATTCTAAAAATATTTGATTAAAGCAAAATAATTTTAAACTATCAGATAAGGTTTTTGTAATCCAATAATGAAAGGAGGAATATAAATGGAAGAGTCTTATGTATTCACTTTTTCAATTATGAATGATAATTCATTTGTTAGATTTGCATTAGCACATGGAATGAAAGAAAAAAGAAAGGAAAATTATATGTATTTAGAAATGGATCTAGAAAGTTTTTTAAAATCTTTAGGATTATTATATTAATATTCTGATGAATTGGAGTGTCTTATAATTGAAGAAAGTAAATTATTAAGAAATATCAGAAATTTAATGACTTTAACATAATAGTTTTTATATTTAAATGAATTAGATGGAAAATATATTATTAGAACAAAAACAGAAACTAATATATAATTTAGATTATAATTAGAAAAAATAGGAGCAATTTTATAAGAATTAATCTTAATTGAAAATAATAAACTAATAATTTAAGGCATTAATAATTTTGATTACATAGATGTTATACCATAATAAGAACAAATTAGAATTATTAAACCTCCCTTATATAATAAATAATTAACTTAATATGAAAATAACGCAATAAAATTTATATAATCATTTGTCAGAGGACATTTATAAAGATTAAGAATGTCAAAATGGGTTAATAATAAGACAAAATAAATATTTGATACTTACTTAATTAAAACAACTAGAAATTAATATCTATAAATAGTTAAGACAAAAAATATTCATAATAAGAAACAATATATTTATATTATAAACCATGAGACTTAAAAGAAATCAAATGATATAGAAATACAATAAATTGTATTTAAATAAATGGGTAATATTTGTAGTGAAAATATATTTGAAATATTTAACATTGATTTAGTAACACCATATATAGAATATAGTGATGAAGCTTTATATTGGATAAAAAGAGAGGAAGAGTATTCTCAAAGAGGAGCTAAGGTATGGGAATAAATTACAAAATCATAGATATGTGTAATTATTATTTAAAGAGCCATTATGAGATATTTATTTAAAAGAAGATGTTAAATAAGAAATATAATTGAAAGAAAGTATACAAATAATTCATCTAAAGTTGTTGAAAGAAGTATGTTGGCAAGAAGAGTGATGATTTATATTGGTGAAAAGGCATGTTTGACTACATTTTATTTAGATATTGAGAAAATAGATTCAAAATCATCATTGATAGGGAATAGTGAATATTAAAGTATAACTATAACATCTAAGCATTTGGAACATGCTTTTTCAATTGATAAAATATTACCTTATTATTAAAGATTATTTTAACCATTAGAAATTAGTGAATTAATATCAATTGCATAAAAAATGATAGAATTCTCTTAAATTATTAAAAATAAGAAAGGTTTTGACATAATTGAATGTAAAAGTGTAGAATAAACATATAGTTAATTTATATCATTATCAAATTCTGATTACTAAGATGACAAAAACTATAGAGAAAATACATTAGAATCAAGATCAATTATAAGTTCTAATTTTACTTAGAAGTATTTATAATAATCAAGTAATATCGATATGGAATTTCCTGGTATGTTGATTAATCATTAACTTGATGAAAATAAACAAATGAATTTTATAAAAACTCTTTAATCATTATATAGAGTTCATAAATAAAGAAAAATAAAAAAAGTAAAGTAAAATAAATATGTTGAAGAATATGATGATACATCAATTAAAACTTACGTATTAAATACATTACCTTGTACTGAATATGGAACAAATCCTGATTTATTTAATTAATTATGGATTGATTAAAACCCTATTAGTGATTACAACCCTATTAGTGATTTGGTATCTTAAAATTCTCCAAAATTTCAAAAAGAATTTATTGGAAAATTTATTCAAGAAATAAATGAAGTTAAATTCGAATTACTCATATACTATAGTATTGATGAATAGACTTTTATTGTTAAAGCTGAAAATTTAATTAATTAAAAAGTCTCTTAGATCTTAATTACAATGACATAATTATAATAATATTATTAAATACCCTATGAATATTTTAAGGTAAATTTTAATAAATTATTATAATCATGCTTTAATTTTAATGAAGATAAATTAATATTTAATCTTGATGAAATCAAAATGGAATATATAATAAATGATTTTCTGAATTCATAAAAAGATAATTCAAATATCTTAGAAAAAGATTTAATTATTCCAAAAAAATCAGATTAGGTATAATAGGTTTTACACACTGAAAAAGTAACTATAGGTACATATTAAAAAGGTACGTCAACTCTCAATTTTGAATTCCAAAGAATACCCATGATCTTCAGAATTATTATTCAATTTCATAATTAATGTATAAGAGTTATTGAAATTGATTCAAATGATTTTCAATCAAAATATATAACTGAAAATTTACAAACTTTAAGTAATATGAGAGTGATTAATTTCTTTAAAGGATTTACACAAGCTCTTACAAAAGTCTTAATAATAAATGAAATACAATATACTCATAATTTTGAAGAGTTGAGACCTGAAATATCCTTGCTATTAAAAGAAAAATTTGTTTAAAAAATACAAGGTATGATATTAGTTAAAAGGATGGTTGAGAAATTTAAAATTTATAAATAATTAAAACGTTCTAAACTTTTTCTTTAAAAATTCATTTTAAACTATTATTCAACTTATGTTGAAATTGATTACTTTTTAATAAAACATCATTACAATTTATAATTCACAATGAGAGAGTTGACTTTTATAACTCATTACGGTAGAATTATTGAGAAAGGTAAGGTTTAGCATTGTAAAAGAAGATTTAGAGAAAAATAATTTATTATTAGTTTAGTAGAGTTATAATAAGAAAGAGAGTTTATATATCAATCTTTGCATAAAAGATAAGATCAAATAGATTTCTAAAGAATTGATTTTATTTAATTATCATAATATGATAAGATGAAAACTATAGAATATTATAGAGCATTAATAAATCCTCTAATTTAATTGATTCAAAAAAATATGCATATTAATTTCAATAAATTTGAAATTTCTATTGATATTCCAATCACTTTTTCTGAAAGGAATATTTAAAAAAAAAGAAAAAGAAAATTTTAAAATGAATCAAAATATTAAATGTTTACAGTATGTATTTTGACAGCATAAGCAGCATTTAGAAGAAAATTATTCAAAGATTGGATTCATTTGAAAGTTCTAAGAAAAAGATAGTTGCAAGAAAAAAATAGATATTTTACAGGTGAATTTGTAATGAGAACTTATAAACTAATTTAGGAAGATCATATTTAAAATTATTATATTGTAAATGTGTACAAATAAAATGGAAAAATAGAAGATTAAATTTAACTTACTTTTGAATTAATTCCAGTTAAGAAATAACATAGATATAATAAATTTAGAACAACATGTTTTTATGATAATTCTTAATTAATACATTTTGGATAATAAAACTTATATGAGTTCTTTATAAATAAAATTAGAATCGAAGAAAAAATAATTAAATTTGATGAAAATAAGTTTTTAACATTTGTTGAAAATTAATAATTTGATGAATCTAAATTAATTATTCAAAAGAATGAAGAAGAATTATTAAATAATGGTAAATTAATTGCTAAAGATTAATAAGAAATACTTATAGATTAAGACAGAACTAGTGATGCTGTTGTCAATATAGTTTATACTAATTCAAAAGATGCAATTAATAAAAAACAAGAAGAGGATGTTTAAGAAAATATAACTAAACTATAAATTGATCTATAGGAAGTTAAAAAATTGTATCCAAGCTTCAATTTTAATAATCCTAACACTATGAAAATTCTAAGTTCTAATCTAATAAAAGGAGTCAAAGTAGATCAAAATTCTGGGAATTTACTTATTGATAAAAGTAGGATTTAATCTTCTTTCATAAATCCTATAAATTTATCAAAAAATAAATAAGAATCTTAATATAATATTCCTGAATTTTTTAAGAAAATAAGATTAACATAAAGACCTCATTCTAATAATGTATTGGCTAAAAGAACATTTTACACTTAAGGTAAGAAACACTTAGTTGTAATAAATTTTGTTAGAAATAAAATTAATAAATTATTGTTTCAAGATAGAGATTCTGTATTTGATGATCATTAAAGAATTTTTGAGATAAAAGCACAACTTTTGAATTTAAAAGAAAGATCATAACCAATATACTGGTATCTGACTCCTGATGATGCATAAATTCTAACTCATCAATCTACTATAGAAAATATAGCAAATATTTTAATACAATAAATTTAGATAGTAAATCAAAAATTCATTTATTTATGCTTTGATTATTAAGACTAATAATTGATGAAGTTAAAATAAGAAAGTAATGTAGTCTTTTTTGTGGAAAATTCAATCAAACCAATGTAATTGAAGTTTAGAAATAGAATTTTAAAAAAACATTATAAAGAATACAAAAATACATTGAATTAAGCAAAATAGGATGGAAGTTTGATTTTGCATTAAGTTGGTAATATGAATACTTAGAAAAAATTGTTTATTTAACTATTTATTGAAGGTAGAGATTAATTTATCATTTTAAAAACTTATGAGGTTAGTGATCAAATGTAAGAATTTGGGACTGAAATATCAATTAAGAAAGTAATTATATGAGATATATTTATAGTATATGAGTATTTATTTATAGGATAAAGTAAAGTGTATAGAAGTTCTAAAAACATTTTTTGAATTTAAAATTGAAATTAATAAAATTTAATTTTTACATCCAAAACCTGATATGGTTGAAGATTACTTGTTAAAATAAAGGTAATTATCATATCATAGTTCTTCTGAATCAGCAAGAAAATCAATCGGATAAACATTAGAAAGTATTGATTAGCAATAGGAAAATGTAAATAAAATGCAAAAATAATTAGATGGATCTCAATGATGTTATATTTGTATAAATTTATTATTAATTAATATCCGTTTTATTAATGAGAGTTTGTGCACTTTTATGTATGATAGTTATAGTTCATTGCACTTAAATCACAAAGTAATTAAGTCATTTATATGATTAAGCTAGGCAAGTATGTTTGAAGAATAATTAGGAAAATTAAGTAACAGTAAATTAGGCAAAACTATATTAAATATGATAACATTGCAATAATTTACAGAAGTAGATTTTAGTCCTTTGTTTACAGCATTAGATGATATTGTTACATCAACTCAATAAGCAAAATAAGATGAAACAGATTAATTAGAAAACTATTACTAATAATTTTTAAGTGATTCTGAGTTCTACTCTACTTAAGTTACTGAATATAGTACAGAAGTAAAATAATATTGTATGTAAAAAAGGTTGCTTAACATAAGAGCGATATTACAACTTTTAAAAAGGATAGAAACAGTTTATAATAATCCTTATATGATAAAACTCAATAATTAAATGATGCTTAAAGAACTTAAGCTTAATTATAAAGAACTGTATAAAATAACGATTAAGCAACATCCAAAAAGTTAGAAGAATATGATTCTTCAATTTCTATTATTGATTAAGTAATTGCTAAATTATCAGTTTTAAAATGTATTCAATATATTTAAATAAAGAATCATCATTTATTTAAGTCGAATTAGAAGATTTAGGTGTGTTTACAGCAACTTTCTCAAGAAGATTAGGGGAATTAACTCATCTTCCTCATTTATTTGAACCTTTATCAAAAGTTCTCATTTAAATGAGTACTTAAGGGTAAATATATATCATTTACAATAGTTTTGCTGATTAAGAATAAGCAGGAAATGCTATTAAATTACTTCATACTTTAAGAGAAGATTTAGTAGGTTCAAAATAAGGATTGTAAATGAATGCATAATTAGAAAAAGATACTAATAATGAAATGTTAAATTCATTGGAAAATACTATCAATTTGTTAAATAATGAAATTATACCATAATTGAAAGCAGACATAGTAACTAAAGATGGAGAAATCAATACAAAATAAGGATTATTATCAGATGCATAAACTAATTTAAATAGTGCTCAAAGTAATCTTGATAATGTTAATGCTGGATGGTCAGCTAGGTATTCAAATTAAATTTATTAAGATAATAACAAAATAAATAATTGAATGATGGATGGGATAATGAATTAATGTTATTATCATAAGCAGAATCTGCTTTAGAAAGAGGTGGAATAAGAAGATGAAAAAATAAATATAATAAATTATATAATAATATTTATAAATTTTATTTGTGATGAGAGGTTTCTTTGCTATTACAAGGGCTTTTATAGCTCCTGTTGCTAAATAGACTTTTTATTTCTCCTCCTAATAGTCAAAAATTTAAATGAGAATGTATGTTACAATTTCACTATTAAAAGAGTCATTAACAAAATAAACCAACTTATTAGATTATCATCTACTATGTCTGGTTTACGAATTGCTAATTAATATGATTTATCATTATTTTCATTATTAGAAGATGCTTAAGGTAATATTTAAGATTTAATATCTTTAGGTAAATTTATTCTTATGAATTTTAAGATGACTCGACTGATTTGGATAATAGGCAGATTGGTTTACATTTAGGATGTACAGTTTCTATATGATCCAAAAAAAGTATTTTTAAATAATAAATTTACCAATCATTATATTTTTATAGTTTTCCCACTTTATTTTATAATATTTACTATTTTACACCAAAATAACTTCAAACTTTGAATATTTTCTACTAAATAATAGATAAATTTCATGATTTATTTTAATTGACAAATTTAGATATTTTTCATTTTATTAATTAAACTAAATCACAAAATATAATGGATACACAACTAAATTATAATTGGAGTCTACTAATCTAATTATCTAATTGATAAAATTAAGACTAAATTTCCTCGTAATTTATAAGGTAAGTATATTAATTATAGAGGCCATCATTCCATAATTTCTCAATATTAATTATAAATGATCCTTTAAATTAATTTAATGATATATTATTTATTTAATATTTCTTTGCGTATCTATGAGCTTGAACATTTACAATGAAGAAGAAGAGTAGAGATTTACTAGCGATTATCAAATGGATTGTTATGAAAGAGACTATCCTTAAACGATGGATGAAAATTACACGATCAACTATTCTCCATTATAATCAAAGTAGTCTTTTAAAAAAGCCAAAACTGGATAGAATAAGCATATTAGAAAAATAAAATAATTAAAGAAACTCAAGAAAATAAGCTAATATGACAAAGAATGGATAAGTATTTATATATTCATTTATTTTTAGATTTTCTGATATAAAGAGTGTCTTAAATTGAAGAGGAAGGCTAATTTGAAAATCTGGAAATAGATCTCTCTTAAAAAGAATTTTAAAAAATTTTAAGAAGAATGAAGCGATTAGATTTAAATTGAATCACTTATGCTAATCTCTTAATGAATTAGTTATTTATATTTCTTAATACTCTATAAAAATTACTAAAACTCTTTAATCTAGTTGTAATACTTTTCTAAGATATAATGTATTTATTTTAATATATATATATAATTAACTGTATTTTTTGTTAGTAAATACATATTTTCTTTAATTAGTTTTTGTTAACAGCTTCGGAGTAAAATTAAATTATATAAAAAACAATAACACTATAAATTACTTAGATTACTCTTTAATTTATTCATTAGAATTTTCAGTTATCCTTTTCATGATGAAATTTTCTGAAAATTAATAAACTAAATATCTACAAATGAACAAAATTATAATTCATTAAAAATTAATTGTAATTTTTTAATTCATGATAGTTAGAGAACCTTAAATAAGATTAAAGACCAAAAAATATTTAAAGTAAAGAAAGTACGTTCAATGCTAAAGATTTCATTCATCTTCAATTACAAATTAATATATTGAGCATTAAAGCATTTTTAGTAAACAAGAAGTAATTTAATAATTTTATTGTGTAATTTTTATAAATCTGATCAATGCTTCTTTATAAAGCTGTAAATAAGTTTTTTTTGAATCTAGCTTTAAACAGAAGATGAATACGAGAGGTTATAACTTTTAAGTGAAGGCATCAAAGAAGTAACATCTGAAATGCCTAAGATAGAAACAATTCAAAGTACAGCTCTCATTAAATTTTGTAAATATTCATATCTATTTATTAGTAATTTGTTGTTATCCTTACTAAGAGTAGAATATTAATATGTTGATCTCAGCATTTTTTGATTATTACAAAAATGAAAACTTTTTTTGGGCATACACCTAAGCAATCTCTTAAATTGGAGACTATTAAGAGAGCAAGGCTGCAGCATATAAAAAATAATCCATATTTGATGTATATCTAAGAAAATAGTAATAATTTAATATATTATAGAAAGGAAGGTAAAACTGGTTTAAATCATTTTTATCATTTTTCTGAATCTGTACAGCAATAAATGACGAAAGTTAAATTGTATGTTTGTTCATATTTTTCCAAATATTTTTCCTTAGCTCAAGATTTAGGAATTGATATGTCAAGAATTTACGATATATATAGAATTTATTTACATAATACAAGTAATAAGGAATTGATATTTGAATTAATTGAATCATTTGAGAATTTGAAAAGGACTTTATTTAATAATTTACCATGGATTGATACATTTTAATCTGAAATAGATATTTATAAATAAACATTAATCCCATAAAGATTTTCTGTTAAATTCAAACAGAATTAACATAATTTACAATAACTTTATGAATAATACAAATAATAAATGGAGAATCCTGGATTACAGAATTAAAACTCTGAAGAAAATAGCCCATAAGTAGATTAAAAGGCTGTTTATAAATAATAAATTGATAAATATTAAATAGCATTATGTAAATAAAACTTGGTAAATTTGATTGATGATTCAATCGATTTATATTTATTTCTAAAATTGATTATTAAGCCATAGAAGTATGATTTAATAGATGATTGGAATGTTAAATATAGTGAAACAACTATAGATAAAGATTACTAAGGATTTAAGATAAATTGTTCAGAATTAGATGATTTATTAATAATTAGGTCTTATAAAGCTTTAAATTCAGTTTTAAATTGTACTAAATTTGAAATCTTGAAACTAAAGATGTAAAATTTGTTACCAAAAATATGTAATTAAATTTATTTTAACTAGTTCATTTGATATATAAGGTACTTCGAGATCCTGAGTAAAATATCAACTTGTATCATTTAGGCTCATTAATAAATAAATTATTAGAAATGTGTCCTAAACATACAATATATTAAATAATTAAGTTAAATCTATTGTTCTCCTTTACATAATTTTTTTATAATAACTCTATTGTGAATTTAGTATTGGAAATTTTGGATTTTGATACTGATAAATATCAACTAGGATATTTTGTTCAAGAATAAGTATGGACTTATATAAATGATACAGATTGGTTCTAATATCTTTTTACTTTTCTATTTAAATAGAACATTGATGTAAGTAAAAAAGATGAAAATTATTAGAGTGAAAGAAAAGTATAATATATTTAATATTATAATTAGACTCAAGTTTTGAGTATGTTACAATCATTAAATAGAAATCAACGAGGTTCCATAAAATAATAAGTTACTGTAAATTAATCCTATTTTGTGTAATGTTATAGCACAAGTGAGAAACTTGATGAATTACAACCACATGATTTCTTAAATAATAGAGATATAGATAATTTAAAGTTTTTCAATAATGATAAATTAAATTTTGATCCTAAAATTATGGAGAAAATGATTGAAGAGTAAAAAAAGAATTAGGTTACATCAGGACAAAATGTAATGATTGAAGACTAAAATATCATATCCCAAAGAGTTAATAAATATGGAAGATAAATGATTGAAATACCTCCAAAAAAGAAATAGGTATCGTTACCTAAATTAAATACAATTTCTGTAAAATCTCCTCTTAAAAATATTAATTCTCCTTTGTCAAGAGAGAGTTCCAAGAATCTATCTATTGATAAGGATGCATAATTGAGTTAGAAATCTAAATAATCTTCTTCAAGTTTAAGACCATCAGATAATTAAGATGATACTTTATCATAGAATAAATTAATAAGAATATATCAGGCAACAAGTAAAACAAATGCAAGCTTATTTAAATAGAATTAGTAAGGTATTCAAATAAAAGATATTGGATTAATGGAATCTCTTTAATTTATTTATAGATTATTGAATTCATTGTAGTAATTTTAAAAGAAATTCTTAAGCCATAAAAATTGTAATATAGTTGAAAAAACAAGTAAAATATTAACAACAGAGAATTTAGTACAATTCTTTTAAATCTTTGTTAGTAAGATAATGAAAGATGATTATGGATTAATTTGTGGTTAAATATTAAATAGTATATATTAAATGGTTTTGAATGAGCATTTGGATGTATATTATGAAATGTTAAATGAATAATTTTATAACTTTATTTAAGAAATTGGAAGTTAGTTTATACTTTTGGAGAAATAATAAAATACTGGATTTAAGAGATATCTAATATCATCAATATTTTTTAATGGATTTATATTGAATAATTACTTAGGTCAAAATTACTTAGAATTTAATATTTATAAATATTTAAGTAGTAAAATATTTAATTAACTACAATAATATTTAATTAATTGTCCTGAAAATAATAATTATTAATTATAATTTACTAAGTAATTATTTTTATCTCAAAATTTAGGTTTTTGAATTGTGTCTTTTCTAAAGCACCAGCTTATATGATACAGTAAATTTTATTTAATTATGGTTTACTTTAAATTTTGTTTGAATCCTAAAGAGTGATAATCCTTAATGATGTTCAAAATGTTCAGAGTTCCTTACACTATTTTGCTATACAAATAATATATCTAATTAAGGATCTTTTAAATAAAAGAAGTATGCAAGTTATTCTTGATAATCTTTAACCTCTTGATCTATGGTACAAACTATGTAAAGCAACTGAGAATTTTAAAATTGTTAATTTAGATCAAATTAAACTAGCAGAACCACCTTAAGAAATAAGATAATTCTCAAAAAAATAATAGAGATAATTCTAATTTAAAAAATAATAAACTGAATAAAAACTTGAAATATCTGAGAGATCTCCGACAGAGTTATGTTTGACTCCTGATTTAACACATAGAACTTTAAAAAATTATAGATTGCGTAAGCCATTTGATTTATGATATATTCATAATTTTCATTTTTTTGTAACTTTCCAAACGAACACACATTAGTCTTCACCACCAGTTGAGATGATTCTTGAATCATCTTTAGTCCATTTAACATTTGTAACATGGGATGAATGTCCAGTACCAACAACTGCTTCAGATGACTTTTTTAAGCTTGGATATCTGAGTATTCTAACATGGCTGAAGTCATCTCCAGAAGCAAGTAAATGATAAGAAGTTTTAGGATCATTTTTTCCATTTATAGTAGTATTGGAACGATCAACAGCATTTATATCAGTACCATCAGCACATTCAGGCCAAATACCTTAAACTGGCCATCCTAGTGTAACTGTCCAAGTGTACCATAATTCATCTTTTAATGCAGATGCTCCACCAGGTAACTAAATTAATATAAATATAATACCTATTTACATTATGCTACATCCCAAAATAATAGTTCATAAGCACCACAAGTAGAATGTAAATTAACACCATCTCTACTAAAATCAAAATGTGTAATATATGATGAATGTTTCTACATTTTTTTACCTATTGCTTTCCATGAAGGATATTTATAAGCATATAATGCATTGTCATGTGAACCAATTACACAAGTAGTACCATCTGGAGAGAATTTAATATCACTAATCCATTCTTTAGCCTATTTAAATACTTTTGTTTAATTAAATTCAGCATCATATATTCTAATAGTACCATCTTTCATTCCTGCAGTAAATCCTTCATCTTTTGGATTTGTACTAACAACACGTGCTTTACATTAATCAGTAAAATCTCCAGTATTCAGATCTCTTTTCTCTTCTTTACCATCTGCAGTTAAAAGAGTGCTACCTATTTTCACTTATTTTCTATCACTTATAGACCAAACACGAACAGTACCATCATCAGAACATGTTACAAATTTATCTTAATCTTCTTAAAATATATCTAAACCCCAAACTTCATTAGTCCATTTTAAATTTGGACAAAAATGACCTCTCATTAAATTTGTTACCTAAAAGTCTGTTTAACTATTAATAGCACCACCATCCCAAGAGAATTAATAAATTTCACTACCTAATGTTCCTATCAATAATTTTGAATTAGGTAAATCAGCATAGATGGCTCTTACACTAGGACATACAGAATCTGGACACTTTTCTTTTACTTTCACAGCCAATATTTCTTCATAATTTTTACTTAAAACAAAGAATACTCCATCTCTTCCTCCTGAGAAAACATAATCTTGTGTAACTGTAATACAATCACAAATTTGTGCATGTTTACTAGGTAATGGTTTCATAAATGCTTCTCCTTTCCATACTTATATACATCCATCTGCAGCTCCACATAATGTATCATTTCCATTAATAGCAATTCCAGATAAGTTATTACTTGCTCCCTTTCCAAATTATCCTTTCTTTCCTTAGCATTTCCCATTATCATATTTCCAACATTTATAATGTTTAACACCTACTGTTACAAATGCATCATCTGTATTCCATCTTAAATCAACTATAACATCTGGTCCACTCTTATCTGACCATAATACTGCTCCTTTTCCACTTACATCAAAAACTGCTAATGAATGATCAACATCAACTGCTCCAGCAACTAATCTTTTTCCATTTGGAGTAAATGCCATAGCTATTATACCTTTTTATAATGGAGCTTTGAATTAGCATTTAACTTCTTTTGTCTCAGCATTCCAAACAAATATATTTGGTTTAGCACCTAATTCACCAGTAGCTACTGTCATTCTATCAACAGGATTCAAATCTATTGCTGTGATATCATCTTCATGTTTATTGAAATAAGTTTAAGTATTACTACCAACATCTAAAACTATTCCTAATGCAGCTGCATTATATAAGACTTGACCATTTGCTAAAAAGAATAAATTATTTCTCATATCTTTTGTACGATATCCATGTACATACTCAATTTCCAAATCACATTTTGGTGGTTTATGTCCTTCTGTTTTACTTTAATAATATTGATATGTTGGTTCTTTAATTGCTCCCATCCATGGTTTACATGCCATAAATTAATCTCCTTCATCAGTTTCCTCTTGTGAGAATACTGAATTTTCATCTTGTTATATTTACTTTTTAGGAGGTGGTTATGCCTTTTTCTTTTTAACAGGCATATCAATATCATCTGCTCCTTCTTCCTTACATAATTCTTA